GTTTTTTTTCTTGACCACCACCTTGTATTTGATTCAGATATTTTTTGAAGTTTTTTTAATTTTTCTAACAGGGTTCATTGGTCTCATAACCTGTTTAAAAAGTATGGATAGACTGTTTGACAATGTCATTAAAACTAGACAGTTAAGCTTTAAACTTTCCTTTGCTATAAGATTTCGCAGAACCACATAGAGATGCTGTTTTCAGCTATATGGTCAAGAGGAAGCTACAACAACAACCCCTCAGCTAGTCAGTTTGAAGTTGTGAGGATTTGATAGTTTTGTGGACTACCAAAAACCACCCACAACCGAAGGGGAACACTTCGGTCGTGACCTGTGAGACCCGAGGGTCAAGTCGGTGGAGCTCACAGGCTTTGTACACGCATGGGGTAATGAAACCCTCAAGATTTACGTTGGGGAAACAAGAAATCACTAATAATAAGTTAAGATTAGATTAGGTTGATGTATTTTACATGGACGTACAAATAATTAATTAATTAACAACATTGTAATTTTTTATAGGATATAGTAAACAGTATAGGGGGACGTATGGCAAACGCACAAAACATATATGGTGGCACATGGCAAATATAATAAAATGCAGGGATAGAGAGAGAAAAAAAACATAATTAGGATATTATAATATTATTAATTTACATATTGTTTGGGGTCAACGTCACCTGGCCCGGTCAGCGCCAGAGCAAGGCGGTCGGCGACCGGCCTGTGCCGTCTAAGCACGTTTTTTTTTAAAAAGGTGGTCTATTAGGTTCAATTTCTATTAACGGGGGGAATAAAGGGGAGTATTGATACGTTACGACGTGGATAGTTCTTGTGGTACTCCGCAGATATGGGTGAGCTGGCTTGACGCCACCGACGCACACGTGGTCGGCATGGCCCACCTGGTCTTTGGAGAACAATTGTACGTAGTTGAGCCGAGGTAATGCTGTCTCGGGTGTTGAGGCCCCCACAGCCTGTTGGTGAAACGTTAGCCCATCATCGTATGTTTACACACCAAGGTAAAAAAAAAATGAAGTTGAAAATGTCACGTTCAAATGGTTTTTCGACGGAGCGCAGGACACAGTTGAGCTGGGACGTGAAGACAAACGTATGTCGTGTTGCTTCAGAGGTCGGTGAAAAGGCGAGTGACTACGGGTGAGACGCAGTGTTCTGTGGGCCGCAACGGTCGATGTTGTTTGAAAATCCAGCGAAGTGGGGCAGAGCAGTGTAGGTTGTTGGGGGGAATATACAATAATTTGAGGGAATATCAGTCCAGACTGCCCTGCCGGCGCACACCGGCGGACACGACAGACGCGCCCAGCGGCACCGACCGACGACCAGCAACGGCCGTTGGCGACGGGACACTGCAGAAGGTGGGGATCGGGGGATAGGTGTTTATATAATATTGGTCGATTCACTGTACCAGCCGCGCGCGGGTTAATTGATATTTTATGAAAGAGAAATATAAAAATGGTTTATGACATGGGGACAATATTAATATGGTGTCTAAATTCTGTGACCTTACAAAGTTACATACAAAAAACTTCTAGTTCATAGTGAATTATCAATGTCGGAAAATGCTAATTGTTCACCTCAAGACTCTACAACCATTCTGTATATCACTAGCAGTAAAAAAAAAAACAATGAGAGAATAGTTCAGATGTACTTTGTGTGGAGGAAGAGGAAAGTTTTTTAGATGACGGTGAACAAAACAATGACCTAGACGATTTTAATATTTTTACAGAAGATGTTATTCAACATAAATCTGGAATTGTGGTAAGACAATTAAATACAATTATTAATTGTTCAGCTCTTGAGAATAAAAATATGACTTCCTGGATGACAAATAATCCAGAGAAAAGAATTACCATGTATATTCTCCAGTGCGTTAGTGCGGCTACACCTAGGAACATCATTAACGGATTTTCTGTGTCAGGGATTTGGCCATTCAACCGAGATGCATTTACTGAGGATGAGTTTGATATAGTAATAAATAGTACTGGAGTACAAAGGACAAGTAAATAATGTAACTGATAATGGTAATAATGAGCCAGTATCGATTGATCAACAACATCCACGAACTCCAAGTTGTGAAATATCACAGAACATATAAAACCACACACAAAAGCAGCATTACAGGTTAGGTTTTATGTGGCTTGTTATCTAGGTAATCATTATATTGATTCGTTTTATACAGTGTACTGTTAAACGTCAGTCGAGAGATTACTCCGGTAACCAAATTGATTCTCGTGAACAAAATTATGATTATCTATGAACTCTAATAACCTACTTTTAAGACATTTTTCGAATATTTTTGATAGAGTTAAAGTGAGCGATATAGGTCTGTAATTTGAGCATTTAGTTTTATCACCATTTTTATAAATAAGTATAACTATCGATTCTTTAAATAATTTATAGATTTCTTCTTTAGAAATAAATATATTAAATATTATAGATAAAGGTACAGCTATAAAATTGGCCATTCTTTTAAGTACCTATATAGACATATAGTTAGATAACGCGTTTTTAGAAAAATAATTGACATTCTTAATACCATTTAATAAGTTAAGGACTTCAAATGGTTCATTTGGATTTTAAAATATAGTATCAGAAATATAATAGTTCCTGTTAAGTGTGTTAAAGCGTATAGAGTGTAAGTTGATAGTTAGAGATTACGCTACCGACTTTCGAGAAAAAAACTATTAAACTCGTGTGCTAATAAGTAATATGTTTTGCTTCCCAGTTTTTTTTTTACCATCATCATTTATTAGATTTCCAACACTAGATTTCTTTAGTATATAAGTATATGATACATCTTTAAATAAATTCCATATTTTTTTTGTAGTCAGAACCCGGAAGTTGAATAAGTTGTTGTTAGTAAAGGTTCACACAATGAATTTTGTTAAAACTTACCATTTTTTGGCGCTTACCTCTGATATTTTTTTTTTTCATATGCGATGAAGGGCGTTTGTACCCTTATTTAAATATTATGCTATAATTATAGCAATACATAATAATATTTTTATTCTGAATAAATACCTACTTTTTTTCAAATCTGCGATGTATTTTTTTCTCATAATGTTATAAATGTTATTATAAGGTATAAAAAAATGTAATAGAACACGCGTCTTTATTGGAAAATATTTAAAATGTTGAGTTACAAATAACAAATAATAAAATAAATGTATACTAGTACCTAAAATAAATAAAATAAATACTTATACTCGTAAAATAAAATTGTAGCTTCACTTCACTTTAAAATCAAAAAAAAATTGAAAATCTTACTTATAAAAACTCGTACATAATAATATTGTATAGTTAAGCGTATTATTTCAGACCTAATTATTTTCTAAAACTGTTGGTAATTAGAGTGATTCTTCTTGATTTGGTTTTCCTTGATCGGAAGTGGCTTCTTCATTTTCATTTTGTTCGTCTTCTTCATCTGTTTCAACCAAATGATCAGGGACATAACTATCAGTACTGTGCGTTCTAAAATATTCTTCATGGAACTCATAAGGTATTATACCATCGTTGCACAACTTAAATAAATCAATTCTTTTTTGTAATGATATAATTAGAGGTATTCTATAACATTGAGTCAGTACTAACTTTTTTTTTTTTAGATTTTTTTTTAAGTGAGAGCAATGACGACTCTCCTGTAGAACTATATGAAAAATAAGTATGAACTTCAACCGATCCATTATCTAATTTTTTAAAGACAAGATATCGAAATTTAGAGGTTTGAATAATACTTCCATTTGTTGATTTTATATTTGATGAATAGGTTGAATCAGCCAACTCCTTCCAATTCAAAAATTCTGAATACTGTAAATTTATCACTTCAATTTGTCCATTATTTGTTCGAGCATTTCGAATTAAAGTTCCCCACTCACTTGGTGCCCATACAGATTTATTTTTTGTATAATGCTCAATGGTTGCGTGTATTGAATCGACGGGCATGTATGTATGCACGGGTAACAAAAAACACAATTTAATTTCTTTTAAAATTTAATTTTTTTTCTAGACTATGTTGGATCATTGCCATCATAGCTCTATTTTTATTTTGGCCACTGCAAGAATCACAGTATAAAGCAATTGAACTATAAGTATTTCTCTTATCCAAATCATACAAATACTTGAAAACACATGTAACTATTTCATTTGCTCCTCGTTGACCAGTCGATTCACCCCAGAGGTACCCATACGAATTTTGGGTTCCCGATTCATACACAGTGCAATTAAATACACTGTATTTGTGACTATAATAAGGCTGGGGACCTAAAACTGGGCTGGGGACGAGCGTACAAAATGCGTTGGTACGCTAGTACTTTTTAACGTGCATCGTAGAATTACATTATCACTCACAGGAGTGGTCACGTGCGCTAAAAATAACGAGCGTTTGCACGGACGTCAATTACTTACCGACGTATTTTTTCTGGAACGCATGTCAAGAATTATTAACGCGCGTTTAGAATTAAACCCATTCAAATATACGTTGACACACGCTCTCACAAAGTACGGAGATAAATACTACCACCTGAAATTAAATTCCTTACATTAAGTTCGTACAGAAATTATTCGTATTATTTCGTAATTAAATTTTTTTTTTTTTTTAATGTCAAGTATCGACAACGAATTGAAAATTAGTGAGGTCCAAAAATATGAAGTCTTGTGGAATACAACTGATGAAGACTATAAAGATAAATATAAAAAGAATGGGGCATGGATAAAAGTAGCTTCGTCTTTAATTAATTCATTCATAGATGAAAACGAAGCTCAACAAAAAATAATATGTAAGTGTTTTTTTATTATACATAATGTACATTTTAAGTAAATAAATATTTTCTATCAACTTTTTAGAACGATGCACAATTAAATTAAAAATGTTTATTTTTGTTTCTTATAAATTACACGTAAGGTACACTTTTTAAATATTTTTTTTATTTATAAGATTTTATTTACTAATATTTAATTAATATGTTAAGTTTTTATACTAATTAAAATGATTAGATTTTTTCAAACTGCCATGGCAATTTTCCTTCGTCACTCATAAAATAATGAGATAGAGCATCACGAATCAAATTTGTATTTCGATTTATTCCTGAATTATTTAAAACATCAAATTCTTCAAAGCCATTTATAGTTAGTGTATCATCAAAACTAAATCCGTCCCGATCGCGATCGAAATTGTGTAATACACAACAACTTTTTACGATATCGACAGCAAAATCTACTTTTACATCAATAGGCCTGTGGAATATACGCAATTTATTTGAAAGTATACCGAATGTACACTCCACATATCGTCTAGCACGTGTCAAGCGATAGTTAAACAATTTTTTTCGATTTGGCAAATGAGTACCGGAGTATGGCCGAAGCAAATGCGTGTTTAAACCAAAAGATTCATCACCAACAAAAGCATAAGGTATAGGAATATTTATTCCTGGTACTTGTGACGATGTAGGAATATTTAAATTATTTCTCTCCAAATTCTTCCACAGCACCGAATTTCTAAAAATAGTGGAATCAGAATCTTTCCCATATGACCCGATGTCCACATAAATTAATTTATAATTTGCATCAGCTACAGCCATAAGCCCAATTGAAAAAAAAGTGTTTATAGTTCATAAACAAAGAGCCACTTCTCTCCGGTTGTACAACACGGATGTGTTAACCGTCCATAGCGCCCAAGCAGTTGGGAAAATTTGATCTGATTTTAAACTCCTCTGAAATTTTGAGCCACATATTTTCATCTGGTATAGGAATGCATACCTCTTTCAAATTTTTCCAAATACTTTGGCAAACTGTTCTTACAACTTGACTTGCAGTGGATCTTCCTATCCGAAAATTGTAATGCAGTTCTTGTATCTGTCAAAATTAAAAAAACTATAAAACTAAATATTACAAACATAACTTTTATATAGACTGGTAAAGTTTACACTTTTTTCTACACTAAAGCTTTGCTGAGCATCGTTTAATTAAAGCAATAATTTATCGTTTCTTTAAAATTATTCATTTAAAATAAAAACAAATATTTGAAATTCAAAATACATTTTTTCCAGTATTAGACGTAATGGGTAGATGGCGTACAATTCGTGACAACTATGTGCGAAGTTTAAAAAACAAACCAATAACTCAAGATCTGGTTCAGCAGCTAAAAAAACAAAGTTGTACGTTTATGGGGAACAATTGTCTTTCCTGAGAAAAAACAGAGAGTTAAGAAACACTGATTCAAATTTCGAAGACCAACCTCTATCTGAATCAACATCGCCTAATATCAATGAGAGAGAGCTTAATTCATCAGTTAATATTGAGGATGAAAATTATCATGAAATAGCCGGGAGTTCTTCCTCTTCTCTAAATGAAAAATCAACAAATAAACGAAAGAAGCCTAATGTGGAGCAAGCTCTAGTTGACTTTATATGGAGTCACATAATAATAAAGTGACAAAAAACCCCATGGAACAAGATGAAGAGATGGCATTCTTTTATTCACTACTTCCAACAGTTAAATCGTTAACTGCACAACAGAAATTTAGTTTTAGAATACAAACAATGCAACTCCTTAATAACATTAAAAATAAAACTCATATTAATCGATCATTCAAACATTCAATCACTATTGAACACTACACCTGTCACCTCATTTCGACCACTTCCTCATACTCCTGATTATGACTTTGTTCGGCCACCGTCTGCAACATCATCTGCAGCTGAGTCATACTACTCAAAATTTTCTCGTGATGAAATCTCAAACGACAATTTCAATTTGCAAGAAAATTATAACCAACCAAACTTTTAAAAATTAAACTTAAAATGTATACATTTCATTTAAAAATAAGATACAATTTGTAATAATTTAATATAATAACTACAATGTATAATAAATATTATCTTCGTAATAAAAATATTTCTGAAAGTTTACTAACAGATATTTTAATAATACGTAAATTATAATAAAAATTTAGTAAATAAAATCTATTCTCCACCTATAAAGTAAGTGTTATTACCTCAAAATTATGACAAGCATTTCTTCAGGTCCTATGGCTGACTTCATGTTAGTGTTCTGACGTTGTACGTCACATTCAATTGACGATGATAATTCGTCAAATGAACTTATGGTCTGCGGAAATAATTAAAAAATGTACAGGATCTTGCCGTAGTTTCTTGTAAAATTGCACGTAATGTCCTGAAGTAGGTATGCCTTTCGCTGTTGATTGGATGAACCCAATGTTTTCTATTTTTTGGTTTTGTTTTAATTTATAAATACACTAAAGAACCAAAAGTAAAAACATCATGTGTATCCATCGTTAGAAGTAAAAATTATTCTAATAACACTACTTTTTACCACAAGTATTATATGGTGAATGTACTATTTTATCAGCAATTCCAATTAGATTTATTTTTACGCTGTGGCTATATCCCCGACAGTCGGGTCTTTATTAAAGACCCGACAACTATGATAACAAATGCGCATAATACACATGATAACAATATAACAATGATAATGCCTGTGATAATCTGATAATTATTATTCATTGATTATAATATTAATTAGTAATTATTACTAATTGCCAATTGGTAATAATATCATATATTTTAGAAATAGGTTATTTGTGAATTGTGTGAATATTAATAAATATTAATGTGGATATTATGTACCAAAATTAAACAAAAATAATTAACAAAAACAATCATAATCATTTTATCCTAACTATCTAAAATCTAAAAAATAATAATTCAGTTTTACCAGTCATCACAAATTTTACATATTCAATTGAAAATCTAAAAATAAAAAAGTTTATATCACAGTTGTTTGTGTATGTCTTCACTAAAAATCTAAAAAAAAAAAATGTTCAATTATAAATCAACACATTAGGTAGTCACTCAAACACATTTTTACAATTTTGATAAACCAATATTTGCCTACTCTGTTATTTTTCAAACCTGCACATTTCAAATCATACCACTCAAGACATGAGTCACATAAAATTGATTTTTGTGATTTAATGTCTAACTCACACATCGGACATATCCATTTAATTTTTTTTTTTTAATTTTAACATTTTTATTGCTAAATTCCATGCAGTTTCTGTGCAATATGGTTTAATACTATTAATATTAACATCATCTTCAAGCATTCCAGTGCAAATTTGGTTTGGTTGACATTTAATATCGGATTCGCATATCTTGTAGTTGTTTCTACGGACTTGATCAACAACATTTTTATTAGTTAACCATTCAATAATTATATTTTCTTTAGTTCTGTAATGTTTCTTTTTAAAAGGTGTAGGTTTTGTTAGAACATGTTTTTTTGGTAAACCAATAGTTGTTAGAGTAGCTCCTTTCGGTCTACCACAAACTTGAACTTTTTGGGGTAACTGAAGCTGAGATATATTTTCTTTGACTGAAATAATTAAAATTAATTAAGATTTATTAATTTATTATAGTAATATTTACAATACTTACCAACAGGTTCATTAGCATTTGGTAAGTTAGCAAAAAGCTCATTAGCACTAGGTATAATGATGGCATCATCATCAGTATCTTCTTTGTAATTGGCCATCTGAGGTATATCTGAGATCACATCATGATCAGCAGTATCCTCTTCAATTATATAATCATCTAGTACACAAGTATCATTTTCCAACAAATTTATTGACAACTCTTTATTATTTGCCTAACAATTAATAATCAATTTCAACTGTTCAATTTTCCTATGAAACTGATCATTTGACACAGTACTTAAAATTTCAGAAATTTTTGTTGAATACATTGACGCTTTTCTATATTTTTCATGTGATGTTAAACATTTTGTCCTTTGTTCTGGTTGGTGTGTTATTGACAAACTTGAACATTGAACTTGATTATTACTCAATGTATTAAATACAACATGAGATTTTGTGTAATAATCTTTTGTCCAATTATTATCGCAAATTGTAGGATCAAAGAGGGACAAGTTTTCATGCTCTCTTTTTTTGAAAATGTGCTTACGTGGCAGTTTCATAGACCTAAAAAAAAGCACAGCTACATGATTGGTCTGTACTTGTACTTTCAACAATAGTACTTTTTTGTAGCAATTGTTATTTTTCCCATTAACTTTATTATATTTTTTCATCATTCGAATGTTCGTTTTCTTGGGAGGTCTTAACCCATCTCTCCCAACTTGAGTTGTTTCATCGACTATGTTTTGAATTGGTGCATCAACATTTATAGTTTGATTTAAATGTTGTGGTTCTTCTTCCATATCTGTATCATGTTGTAAATTTTTAATTGGTGCATCTACATTTGTAGTTTGATTTAAATTTTGTGGTTCTTCTTCCATTTCTGTATAATGTTGTAAATCGTCAGCTCCAAATAAGTTTCTTGAACAACTAGGAAATTTACTACTCAAAAAAGTTGAATTAGAGTGATAGTCCTCTACTATTTTTGAAACAGGTGGTAGCCACTCATTTATATCACGGCTACAACTTGTGAATGATGTTAATGATGTTAGAATTTCTAAAATTTCTGGTGTAACAATATTCTTTGTATTTTCTATACTATGCTTTTGTTTCATTATTTGTTGGAACACTTTATTATTAATTTTAGTAATAATAATATTATGACTATCATAATTTTCATCAGAAACAACTTTAGAGTGAACACCTTGATCTATCTTGATATCTTTAATATTATTTGCAGCTGCAGCTGCTAAGACCATCCTATTACTCCTAGAGCTACTTGCCATTTTAACCCTTTCAGACCCAAATTAATGTTGTTTGAAAAAAAAATTTTTTTCTTCATAATATGGTTTAATATGATATAATTAAGTTTTTTTGCGAGTTTCATAATTTTTGAATTTTTTTTTCAGCAGGTTACAGGTAAGTACACTACAGTGTACCTTGGGCCTCTTGGGATAACTATTAACGGAAATCTATTTTTCGACAAATTTTGATATTCAAGTTATGTAACTACACAATTTTAAACATATAATCATATATTTTTTTATTGTATAGATACGTAAACAACATAATATAATTAATATGATATAATTAAAATCAGTAAAATATAAAATACGTTTTTGACGTTGTATATAATAAAATAAAAACATATTGTGTATAAAAACAAATGAAAACAAAAAATTAAAATTAAATAAAATAGCAGTCCTTTTTAGGTACCTATAAGTAAATTCGTAACAAATAAATAATACCAAAGAATTAAAAATTAATAATTAAAAATAGGTTTTATCATAACTACATTATTACTTTGTATGATATTTGTCAAAACAGTTACTTGTCCTATCCAAGCATAGATGAAGATTGCATTTGCTACAAAACGTATGTGTTCTTCTTTTGCAAGTTGGATGTTTACACTTCGTTGCATATTTTCGTTCGTCGACTAATGCACGATGATATGTTCCATCTAAACGTACATCAATATTTGGAGGCGCTGAATCTACCACGTTTCTTTTCGTGTATGTTTGTTCTGGTACTGGTTCCGCCTGTGCTGATGGACGTCCTCTTTTTCTATTTGGCGTGCTTGGTTTATTTACGCGTATCAAACTTTCTGCGATATCCATACGAAAATCCATCGAATCCATAATTTTTTTTTTTGGAATTTTCAAAATTTCTGCGTGTTTTTTATATTGGATCCAAGAATTACATATAGCCAAATCAAAAAAATGCATGGCCATTCTTAATGTCCATTTGTTTGATCTAATAAAAATCCTATAATAACTAACCATCTGGTCCATTTTGTCCACTCCTCCCATTGATTGATTATAAATACGAACAATTTCAGGCCTTTCTATGTCAACATACTTTTTTTCCTTTTTAGACCATCTACGAACCACATCAAGTTCCCCAGATGTAACAAAGTTTGAACCTAAATGCACTGGCTTGTTATCATACCATTTGAGTAAACCTATATTGTAGTTGTTCGGTTGGTCTGTGGTTATTTCAAACGATGTTCCTCTTCCCAATTCTCGCATCAATTTATCAGACAAAAAAGGTGGTTTGGCAAACCAATTGGCCCTGATTGTACCAACAGCATATATTTTATCGTGCAGTAGTTTTTCAAAAAGCCCATAGGACGAGAAATAATTATCAAAAAATAGAAAATGACGATTTGGTTTTATGTTTTCGGTTAGACGTAAAACAACTGAGCCTCCAGAACCATACGTTTTAATATTTTCAGGGTCTAATTCGGAAAAACCTTGAAAAAGAAACAAATTGTAAGCCAAACCACTTTCTCCACATAATAGAAAAATCTTGATTCCCCATTTGATTGGCTTATTTTTTACATATTGTTTGATACACAACTTGCCTTTAAAAGGTACCATTTGCTCATCCACACAAATGTTTTTTTCCACGGGTAGGCTCTTACATTTTCGTAAAAAACTATCACACAGAGGCCGAACTTTTATAAACTTATCCTTATTACATGGTGGTATATCATTGTTATCAATTACGTGAAAATTAGTTCTTAAGTTAAAAAATCGATTTCGGCTCATATTATCAGCTATCAAATGTACAAAAAATCTTTTTTGCCAATACATGCGTACACGGGAATATTTCAGGCATCCCATTAGCATGTGTATACCAATTAGCGTTTTTATCTCGTGTTCGTCGGTGAGTTTGAACTTTGAGCCCAAATTTTTTTGAGTTGCGTACAAATTAGTATTAAATGCTATTTTAACAAAAATATCGTCCCCAAAATATTCAGAAAAATATTGTATGGGAGTTTTAAGTGTATCAATATACTCACTTTCTATATCTTCTAAATTAATAGTAGGTGGCTCGAATGGTTTTTGTACCCAATGAATATCACGTTTATTTGTATTTATGAAATCAGGTTCAACCTCCTCTATATCGGGCAAAATGTCCGAGGATAAATCGTCAAAATCATTTAACAATTGGTCAAACTCATCAATTGGAAAACAATTATCATCTTCCAATTCGTCAACTTCACTACCTATATCAGACACATCACCATCTCCCAAAAGAGCCAAAATATCACCATCACTTAACATTTTAATTTATTGTTTACACTAGGTCCAATAAAAATGAATAGGTATAAGTTGTATAACGGATATAATATATTTAATAACGAACTATAATGTAAAATATTAAATAATATTTCAATAATCAGAGATAAACGAGTTGTCATTGGTATGTGTGTGTGTATGACATAATAATGTGTTATATTATCATATTATAATAGTTTTTATTAGCACATTATTGTTGATAAAAATAATAATTATTCTGTGCATAAAAAATGTGGGAGCTATTTACGTTCCGATCGTTCCGAATCCGAAAGAATGACGTCGTAGAGGCCCAGCGTACACCACAGTGTACTTCGTTACCAACGGCTGTAAATTATAAACAAACCGCTAGATGGAGATAGAAGTGATATTTTTTCAATATTTACAATGTCTTTGACTATAGAAAAAATCAACGGAACGATAAAATTACTAGTGACACTAGAAAAAAAAATGATAAAAATCCAAAATTTTCTTATCAAACTTATTCAATTTTTTTGTGATAAAACAAACGTAATTAATAGTTATAACACATTGAGTTAACATATGATTATATTTTTCGATATCTACACAAGTTCTACTTGAAAATAAGACAATGACCGCCAAGATATTTTAATTTTATCAGGTGTCGTAATTATTAATAGTTACGGTACACTACAGTGTACTTTGGGTCTGAAAGGGTTAACCTATTAAAAGTAAAATAGGTATTCATTTAAGTATTTTTTTGGAGCAAAAAAACATAAAAATGTATATTATAATAAATGTATTAGGGTACCTATAATAATGATAAATCCAAATTTTAAGAGATAATTTTAAATTTGGATTACAGCAATTATTAACATAGTTATTATTTTTAAACATTTTTAATTTTCAGAATAATTTGCTTTTTATTATGATAAAAGAGAAGCCCAAAATATGACTGAAGATAAAATGTTGTAAAATATTGAATTAAAATACCTTTCTTTTTTTTTATCAGAACAATAATATGTACCTACAGTTTCAGCAAATACAATTAAGAAAATTGCTAGATTCTAAAGCGATTTGCCACTGAAAATATTACTTATATCAATAAGTTGCTTTAACATTTAATACAAATTAATTTGATGTAATACATTTTTAAAAATCATATTTGTCTGTATTTATTTAAAGCTATGTAAAAGAATTACAAAATTATTTATGAAAATCATTATACTTAGGTAATAATTATTGATTATTATTTGATAATAAATCTAAATACTTAAACAAATATTATTTACAAGCATTTTTATATAAGTACTTTTCAATAAATTATTTAAAACACTTCTTCAAATACATAACACGAAGGCTCCCGGGTTTTGGTGCCTTGCGGCTACAACCGCGGACCTCACATTAGCGCTGTGCGCTAGTCGAGAGCCGCGGAGGTTCACGGTCGACGTACGGTGGCCCAGTCCGCCGGCCGCGCGTCGTCTATGGACCACGAGCACCGGGACCGAGGTCCCGTACCAAGAAGACAGGCCAAGTGCCGCCTGAATTCGCCTGGTCTGGCTGTGTGCTATCTCCACACCGAGTGTTTCTGGTTACACCCAACCTCCGATGATACTACACCGGTATAGCGGCTAGACGCCCGAGAGGAACCGACAACGAACCGGAGACTCGCGCCCCCGGGTCGTGGCGGCCGTTCATCAGAGGTTTTCGCCTGTCAGCGAGAACTTAGGGTAAGTATCTATTGACTTAACCACAAAGTATTCGTAAGAAAACCGCCACCACGATTCCTACAGGCAACGGACGTCCAGGGGCGTGAACCATCACTAGGCGCCCGCGGTGAGCGGCGTCGTTGCCGACGGGGCCCCACTCACTCCCGTGGTACTGAAGCGTCTTCAGTCAGACTCTCACCCCCTCGAGAGCTACCAGTTCTGTCCGGCAAGACGGGCATTGGTTTGCCTTAACCGCGGACGAACGTCCGCGAGGTGCGAAATTAATCTTGGCCACCACCCTTTCGAACCGTCATCAGCAAGGACCCACTCTTTGGGTCAATCAGGCCGAACGTCCCGACCCGGATGCCTGCCGAGCCGAGGCGCCCTGCCCAAACTGACGACAGCCCTACCTTTCGGTCAAAGGTGGGACTATTTGCGACGACCACCCTCGCCTACCGACTTAGGGACTCTAAGCAGACGAGCCATCAGCCGCGAGCCCGTAACACTCACCGCTGTGTCCCGGAGACATGCCCGAACCCGGCTTACGCTGAGACGCCCGGCTGCTGGACGGAGCGAACTCCGGCGCCCGTGCTCTCAACTCGTATTAAGAGCACCACCGGCTGGGTCGGTGGCCCAACCGGCGACCGTGAACCGGCCCAGAGGACATACTGTCCGGAACTACGGGTCATTTGATCGAAGCTGTCCGCGGCCGGTTATTAGTTATTCGCCGGCTACCCGACTCGGAAGCGACCGAGGGAACCGGGCTTCCCCCTATCCACAACCTGGGGACGCGATCTATACCGTGCGTCCACGGTCGCGAAACTCACAGTAGGCGGCTGTGGTTTCGCTAGATTTCAAATACATAACAGTAGCTATTAGAGTAAATACATTTACAACACTGGCTGGTACCTATAATCATAGGCGTGCGCACGGGGTATGCAGGGTATGCGCCCGCATACCCTGCGGCCAGACGCTTGGGGGCACATGAACAATGTCTCGGTTCATAATTTTGACTGTGTTATAAATTGGTAATACGATATCGATATGGAGCATGGACTTGTTTTTAAATTAATTTTGGACAGTTTTCAATAATTTAAGGAAATATGGATTTTGTTTTTAGTGTAGGTTAGTGACAGTCAAACAGCTGATCGATTTGTTTTCATTTTGCCGGAGGTTCGGTATAAATATCACTTAACAGTGATAAATTGATAAAAATATCTTTACCTCGCGTTTGTAATCAAATTGCGTGTCCTACCGGTCTACTACTAGATGGGCTTGTAGATCGGAAGCCATCGAAGCGGTAAAAAACAACTTTTCAGCATTACTACTTTGTTTAGAGGAAATTTCCGATAAAACAAATTTATCTGAAGTTAGAGCCAAAGCTAAAGGTCTCATTTTTCAAATGAAAACTTTTTATTTTATTTTTTCTATGCATATACTAAGCCCAGTTTTAATTATGATCCAAAAAGTGAGTGCCAGTTTACAATCATCAAACTTAGATTTGTTATCTGCAGTATCACTAGTGAAGTCTCTTAGAGAACACCTGAGTAAACTGAGAACTGATGATAACAACTTAAATGTTATTTACAATGAAGTTGTGTTTGTCAAAAAAATCTTATCTCTATACCTGAAGTTAAAAAGAGAAAATTTACCAGGAAAATTGATGACAATTCTACACACTATACTGTTGATAGTAAAATTGAAGAAATGAGATATTTTACTTTTTATCCAATGTTAGATAAAATGATTAGAGGAATTGATGAACGTTTTTCACAAGAAACATTGAATTTAATTGCATCTATGGGGAAAATGTTAAAACTTCAAACAGATGATGCAGACATTAAAATATTGTCAGAAGCATTTAATTTAAAAAATATTCATACAGAAATTAAACTACTTATAAATATACCGGAAATAGAATCTATATGCGGTTCATCTAACATTAATATTTCAAAATGGTTAGATTGGTTAGTAGATAGTGGACGTTCAGAAATTTTTTCAGATTTTTATAAATCCTTAAAATTGTTTGTTACCATTCCCGTTACAAGTTGCTCTTGTGAAAGAGCATTTTCAAATTGACTATTGTTAAATCAAAGTTGAGGTCAGTGATGACTCAAGAGCGCCTAAATGCATTAATGCTGATATTCATCGAACAACACATTGCAACTGAAATTGACCTAGAGGATGTGATCGAAGAATTTAAAGTCCTTATACCAGGAAAGAGAAGGATTGAATTATAACAATTATGTATAATGTAAATTTTCATTTAAGCAAACATCATATTTGTAAAAAAAAAATACTTTAATCAAAAAATATGAAAAACCTATTTTTTTTCTTATATAAAATAGTAGCCATAAGTTTATAATACAATGCCATGCACATTCATTTTAGGAGCATTTATATCTGCGGGGGGGGGGAGCACGTTTTATCAGCCTCATACTCTGCTAACAAAGTTTGCGCACGCCTATGCCTATAATATAGGTATATTTTATATTGGAAATAATATTGTTATAATAAGTGCATAAAATTAGTTTCTAGTTGTGTTTTATATAACTAAAGTTTGGTTGGGAGCATTAAATGTTTGTATTCAATGCCATAATATAGTTACAGTGTTATTAATTTCATAGGTATTCAATTGGATTAATTTTGTCACTGTTCTCACACTAAACTTCATCGTCTGCCATAATATCTAGCATATTATGTGATATAGTCTGTGTGGTTTTACGAAATCTTTTTTTCTCAGGTGTCAAGTTATGAGTACCAAACTGATGAGGACGATGGGGGAGGATTGTTGGTCCATTTTGTTTTTTACCCTCTACAAAGTGAGCTGCATACGCGAGCTCCTGTCTTAGGTTCATCAGTTTTTCTATAGTACCTACGTAAATTAATTGTATAGATTTAACTAAAATAATTAACAAATATTACAACTGTTTTTTAAGCACCTTATTAACTTCATCCATTTTTTTTTTCTTTCAAATGTATTGGAAAGCGATATAATTTGCAACAATCTTTTTCGTTGTAATGGCAACATCCAAAAACCCAGCACAAAACCATAATTTCTACATTTTCAAAACATGCATATTCTAAGTATCTAGCTAGTACTAGATACTATATTATGATTGACAAATATATTTTAAATATGTTGCATTAAAATCATAAAAACCAGTTGGACAATCATAAATCAAAATGAACACAGTAGGTGGGTATTTGCCAAATAATACCCATCAAATATGTTTATGGTTTGTTAATTAAAATCAGTCTATCAATTTAATTTAAAGATAAAATTGATGAGGATTGAAAACATTTGTGACGTCACACTAATCGCGCGTATTAGAGTTTATAGATCTGACTTTTCTGAGTAGCTACACAAAAATATCGCGATTTAAATACAAAAGTACAACTGTAAGTTTGGCATAAATGCAGTTGAGCTGCCAAAAGATTTTTTTTTTTCAAAATGTGCTTTTATGCATGCTTAATTTGATGTTACTTTAAAAAAAAATCTCTAACTTAATTTGTATTCATCGAAAACCTTCAAAATGCTCGATTTTTGGAAAAATCGTGTTTATGAGTTTGAAATACTAAGAGCTTACTTTTTTTGTTATTGTTAATAAAGTTAGTAAGATAGATAAATTCTGATTTCACCAACACGTTGAGCATAAAAATACTAACATAACTTAACCAAAAAAAATTCAAAAAAATCACTTTGAAGTATACCTAATCGTAGTTTTTAGCGCTCCTGGTGGACAATTCACACATTAAATTCCTACTCACTTTTCGACGCCGAGTGTCTACATACTTCTGTCATCACTTCTGTTGGCGTATGTTTGTCGCGTATCGGCTATGTGTCGTAGTCGTGTGTTTTTAGCGTGTTTCTGTTATGGCAATTTGTGAATTGTGCCTTTCTTTCTTCGGTTCTCGTTGATTCCTATTCTTTGTTGCGTATAATTGATGTACAGTGATGTCCGTACCGTGTACGTGTATAGCCATGGATCAGTCTGCAGTAAGTAATAATGATTAGTACCTGTAATATAAATGTCTGAAGGTCTGCCAGTATAATAACAATCGTATGGCGACGTGTGTAAATGTGTTGTACAGAAATGTCTCGTCGTCCACATTTGTTACATTCCGGAAAAGTTCCGTTTGTGATGGACAGATGGACCTTCAAGCAATGTAAAATAGGGGGTTAGGCTTGACAGAAAAAAATTAAAAATATATCAACGATATAGTAGCTCTCATATTTGTGAATAATGAATATTATTGTATTTATTATTATTTAATATTTATTATTAATTATTAATTAACGCCTGTTAGGGCAATTTTACAAAAGTAATTTTTGAAACACTATTATTACATTTTTTTTTTTTAGACAATTGTATTAATCATTAGTTATTAATTTACTTAATTTATTGTTATTTCTAGATAATAATATTATATATTGTTGAAAAAATTTAGGTACCTACTGATGTTTGTTTCTTTTTTTCTCCTATTCTAAGTGTACTATTTCTTCGTTAGACTAAAAATTCTTGAACTCCTCTGTTGAACTTCTATATTATTTTAGTGAGTATCCTTTTCAAGAACTTGGTCGATCAATTGGTCAGTTAGACAAAGGTTCATTTAATATTAGTTCAAAATAATGTATTTTATTATGGGTTGTTTAGTCTCATATCTGTATGTAGGTATTTCCGACTGACCTTGTATAAAAAACAATTAGGTACTGTATACCTAGTGAATTGTTCAACTTTAACACAATATGTAGTTAAATGGTTTCTAAAATCTTAATAATCTTTAAATGCTTTATGATGACATACCAATTTCTATTTATGTAAAATTTAAATAAGTTCAAATTACAGAATATATCTTAACTCCTAATCTGCAGATTCGGATATTATTATTTATTAATATACCTAATAGAACTTATTCAGAGGTTAGGTTGGCTATAGGAAATTAATAATTATATTTGCAAAATATGTCTATCTAACTATTGTTACATTTTGTGATAAATTAACATTAGTGTGAGTAAAGTGTTGTGTACCATACGACTGTGGTTTGGATATAATTTAGGGATAATGGTTTTAATCAGTAGTGTATTAAAAGGGGTCTAGAGGAGCACACGCACCTCCGAACCTTGAGTGTGTAAGTAATGGATAAATTAATTTTATCTGACAACATATACTATTATAAAACATTAAAAATATAACATATTGGTATATAATATTCAGTTTGATAACATAAATTACATTAGAATTGTAGAATATAACATAAGTAACAGTCTAAGTTTTTTAACAATAAAACAAATATCACTTTAGTTACCTACATTTCAAACTAGGGTCACTCTAGAATTTTAGAATGTATCATAAGAAATAAACAGCATTTAAAATGTTTAACAATTAAACAATTACAACCTAACAGGTAGTAGGTAGTATTTTTAAAACAAAAAATAAACAGTTTTTTTATCAATTAAATAAATAATAAGTTAGTTACTTATTAAATATTATTTTATTAAATACAAAAGTTAATCTTTTTATGTAGGTATGGATCAATCTATTTCTCATTAACGGAAACAAGACCTGAAAACTTATAAATAATTTTTCTTTTTTTCATGATAAATGTTGAGCTTGGTAAAATAGCTTCTTTAATTTCTGCTGAAATAGTTGTGATTTTCTTATAATATCATCTGTTTTTTAGCCCCATCACTACACACACTTTCATCATCAACAGATTGAACAACACAAAACACATTTAAAGTGGGTCCTGTTTCGTTGTCCTCCCAAAACATAAACTAACACACTTCTGACTTGATAGAATGCTATATTCAGTAGAGAATATTTTCCTATTTTGTATGTGGTAGTTGCAATATTATGTATTACATACATTTGATTTAGGTAAATTTTGTCAATTAGGTTTTTCAAATGTTATAAATTGTGCATATAAAGAGTTTTGTATTTACTATTTAGGATTATTATTTAGCTTAAATCAAGTATTTTTTTTAATTAATTTTTTAATTTTTTTTCAGGATACCATAGAGTATGTACCAATTAAAACATACTATTTTAAAACAGAAGAGGACATACTAACATTATTCAAGATTAATAAGATACAATATAAGACCAGTATTTATGAAGTAGTTTCTAAAAATATCAACAGAATATCATTAAAAAAGAACTGTTTTGATCCTAAAGTTTTAGATTGTGTACTGATTGAAGCAAACGTGAATAAACTAGTTATGAATTGTGAACTCGGATTTTCCATATTTAAAAAAAATAGTCAACTCGTCGACGTAGCATTCAATAATGTTATGAATGAAATAAATGAGTTTATCAGTACCTTTATTAAAATTTTAAATGAAGAAGATAGAATTTTAATAATTGATGGACTTGTACTTGGGAATTCAGCAAGTTCTCCTATTAGCAAATGTTTAATTTCGGTTCGACCAGAAAAAAAACCCTCTATTATCTTATTGAAGTTAACAAGTTCGTCTTTAGAAAATTCGAATTTGTTACAAAATAAAAATCTAGCTAAAATCACTGGTCCAGGTATTTATTTATTATTTGGTAATATAAAAACAATCATAAAATACACAGATGAAGAATTCATGTTGTTAAGAATACAGAGCTATGATAAATGTTGCATTAGAGTTCGCAAATATCCTCATAAAATTCATAATTTCAATAATATTTCTGGACGTGAAACAATGACTGGTGTAAAATCTGATCTGTTTTCATATAAAGTTGATATTTTAGTTAAGAAACCATGTCAAGATTTTCTTTCACTGATATTGGACCAACAAATAATCTTATATAACATAAAAGTGATCCATTCTAATAACTCAGGCATATTTTCACTATGTGTTAACGGAAAATCAACAAATTTAAAAGCCCATAAAGTTATTCCACAACTCAAAAGAATTCCAACAACTCAACATCATCTATCCGAGCCATTTTGTGATGATAATATTTCGTATTCGCCTTCAAGTCCTGAATATTTAAAAACAAAGCCAGACCAAAATTACAATAATATTAATAAAAGAGCTAATTGTTCATCTCACAATGGAAATATGAATAATAATAATAACGAAGATCAAGAAAATGGTAATTATCAACCTATCAAAATTATTAAGCCAAATAATCCAACATATAACCAAGTCCAACAATATAATAACAAAAGGCTTCCTCCTGTGTCTTCTCTTTTTATAGATGAGACAAATTACATAAATGAAACTAATCTGCCTATTCAAATTTCAGATGTTCATTCCTTGCCATTTAATTCAGATCATTCACAAAATACAATGGAATTTACTAATGTCAACAATCGAGAAGTATTGGGTGTCAGTAGCTTACGGTGTATTGGACCTTGCAAACCAATATGTATTGAACAATATTTAAATGATGATTATGATTCTATCAACTTAGTATCTGGCTATTGTACAAAATGTTATACTTTCACTCCAATATCTTTTCTAACACCACACATTGACGATTTCAACAATGAATACACATGTCTAAGATGCCGCAATGTCTTATTTCTAACTTTTTTTTTTAAATTGAACTTTTTGTATGGGGAAAATAATGCTCAATCAATTGAATTAATATGCTACAATGATAAAGCTATAGACCTAATCAATCAACTAACAAAGAAAGATATTAATGTAAAGGATTATTTATCACACTACAGTTGTAGACAAACAGTTGTAGATGCCATGAGGAATTTTATATTTAAACAGAATAATATAATTATAGTTTTTCATGATTTGCCTTCAGATAATGTTCACATCCTTGTTAGTTTAAGTACAATGATTGATTTGAAAGTTGAGACAATATAATGTTATTCCAATTTAAATCTGTAAATACAAAAGTGGTTTAATCAAGAGTGTTTGTAAATTACAAAGATATTTCAGTTATTTTATTTACATATATTATATAAATAAATTTTATTATATAATAAATTAGTGCAGAATGCTAATTAGAAGTTTTTTTATACTGTTAAAGCATAATTTTGATTTTTTTTTTTACATATAACTAATTAATTGTTTTTATTAAAGATAATGATAAAAAATGTATATTACTTACATAAATAATAATTTATACATATTTACTATATAGTATTATATTTGTGACTAAATTTTATATTTAGAAATTAAAATTCTGAAAAAGTCCAGGTTTTAATTATTTTGTTATTATTTTTCACTCCTCCGATAATCGCATACATTAATGAATAATAATTAAGTATTAACTATTTATTGAAGTATCTCAACTAGTTAAAATATTGTATGCAATATACAGACATTTTAAGTTAAAATTATTTGCAGGTAAAGCATTTGTTATAAATTAGTTTTAGTAGTATCTAAAACTAACCTGATCTTTTATCAGCCAAAATTAAATATTCTTCCGAAATCAATGATAATTTATGTTATGATATCTTTTTTTCATCTTATTCTTATATTTTGGATATTTTCACAAATTAAAATTAGTATTACTCTACTTTCATAGCTTTATCTATTTGCTTTTCATATAACATGAAATCTGATAGATTACAAAGTACCTAAGTTTTTCAGTCCTCTTTGTCTACTGTTCCTGGAAGGTAAGACCTACAATCCTTGTATTTGTCTACCTGTAGTATATGTTTGGCGCTGTAGTTATGCTTTTAAAAATAGCACTAGGACATAGAGGACAAAATTGACTATAGGTTAGCTATATTATTTACACTGTAACGACAATTTAAACATAATATTTATTTTTTTTTAACTTTCTACAATAAATTCTTACTGTTTAATCAAAATGTTTTTAAAAAAATGAAAATGACTTAAAATTATTATTTTGAGTATACAAACATATTAAAAATAAAAAAAATGATCATACTTCTACAATATAAATTGTTTTTATCATACCATTCATACTCGGTATACTTTTACCTTCAGCCTTCGCTTCCTTTTTACTTGGAATGATGTTCGAAAAAACAATTGGAGCATGTATAAACTTTGCACTTGGTACAAAGAGTGGTTACCCTCTTTGTCTCCACAAGCCTGAACTGATCCATTTCTTGCAGCATTTTCTTTATAGCAATGGGTGCACCATTTTCGCATTTTACAATAACGAATATTATACGATACCGCGTTAGGCCGCCGGTGGTCTTATTTATTTTATACTTTATTAATAACATACATGATAAACTCAATAATCTTATGTCGGAATCATATTTTTAGACCAAATACTTCCCGAGATAAATAGATAATGCTAATAGCAATTCACGAATGACAACATGAAAAACCCGAATATGTCCATATGTCTGCGTATTTCACTTAAGTTTACATTATTTTGCATTTTTAAAGATTTTAAGCATATTAATGCACATTATGTAAGTAAATCATTTATTTAAAGAATTTAAAAATAAAGAGCAGCATTATGTAAATTTTGAATTATAGGCACTAAACTGAGGATTGATTGCAATTTATCGACCCGGTAATAACAATCTAATCATTCAATGTAATTCAGGTGCATAATATATAGTAACATTGACATTTTTATATTTAGGACTGAATAACTATATTATATTGAATATTATACTATACTATATTATACTGAATACTATATTATATAAATGAATATTGTTTATCGATAGTTCATTTGTGGATGATTAGGTATTTCATAAGATAGTTAATGTTCATTTAAATGATTTAATAAACACTTTTTAGATAATATTGTCGTATAACTGTTGGATAATGTACTAGTAAGTGGTATTTTGGTTTAGGGGGGCATTAAATAATTTAACATAATTGTCATTGTTTATTTTTATTAATTGTTGAAGGTGTAAAACTTTACCTTCATTTATTTGTAGGATAAGCGCAAATCAATCAGTTTTAGAAAATGTGTATAGAATATCCATACTTCATCAGTTCATCATCTAGGGGTATTAGATTTAGATCTTCTATCATTAATGAAAAATAATGAATACATGTCCATATTTCACGAGCAGACATTTTTAATCGAATTTTTTTAAGTGTACATCGAGTATTGGTAGTGAATAATTTCTAATGATTTAATCCATAGTTAAATGATGTACTTTTTCTTTTATTAAGTTCTTTTAAAGTGAATAACTGTATTATTTCTATATAGTAATTAATTATGTGACAAATATAATGACAAGCTCCTTCGAATAAATCATGCATAATATCAACATTATCAATTTTAGTTACATGAAAATAATATAATATGTATACTATTTAGAACGGATTCTTAATAAATACCAGTTTGTCTGAAATACGATTGTAATATATCTAATGAATAATTTTAATTGGTACGCATTAAAGTACTTTCCTCGGTTGACATTGACTGGATTTATGAGCTTTACAAAAACGGCAAAAATAGTTAGCTGAAAACGATTTGCTAAATTCTAAAATTGTATTCACAGCTAAATTATCACCTAATACTAATCCAAGTACAACCGATTACTCCAAACGAAGTCAAATCCATCATAAAAACTAAAGGAGAAAAGCACCAGGCCCAGATGGGATACCCAACACAGCCCAGTGACATGCATCCAACCCCACTATATTGCATCTCAATAAAATCTTTAACAGCTGCATACGTCTATCACACTTTCCTAGTATATGGAAACATGCAAACTTGGTCATGATTCCGAAGCCGGGGAAACCAAATCAGATCCAGCAAACCATCTTCCCATCTCGTTACTCAACACACCGGCGAAACTGTTCGAGATTCTAATACTAAAACTGTATTGTTAGAAAATAAACTCTTAAACCCAAGAATAAAGAAAGCACTTTTAAAATACACTAATAGATAATAATATTTGTTAATATTAGTTATTACTGTTAAATAAACTATTATTTACACATATTATATAAACAATATGAGTCTACATAATATATACATAACATTGTACCCTGTAAGTCAAAATTACATCACCACGTACTCATTCTAAATTTGGAACAAATGAATTTATTTCTTCCTTCTTTTTGCAAAATACTTTTTAAATAGTCATCACTATCACTGTGGTATTTTAAAATGGCTTCAAAATTACCTTGATTTATATTATCACAATATGTAACATAAATTACTAACAGTAAATGATACAAAAAATATATCAATCATTTATTTATTCGTATGGTGGGTTACGTGATTTTAGTCTTGGTGGGTTCTAAAGGGATTTCGCAAAATGTTGTTATCGTCTCTTCTTCAATCGCCAATAATCAATTCACAGCACTTAGGTACTAGTAAAGAAAAAGAACAACACACTTTCATTTAGAATTAATAACTTTTATTGGAAACAATAGTCACTCTTCGGCCTCGCTCTTCGCACCCGCCGACAGAGAGACGCACAGCACAGACACGTCCGGCTCACAACCATAGATAATATATAGAAGATAGGCTATTCCAATACCTACAACCCATGGGTTCGCGTGCCGGAAGAGCCCCAGACTAACATTGGTTATGGTAACCTAGTTATCAATGGTTATGTTATCCTGTTATCTTGTCAATGTATTTGAATTAGGAGTACGAAATGACAAAATTTGAATTATTAAACATTTTACTGAGTAGTGAGTACACTATTCAATTTTATTAACTTTTGTGGCAGGTACAGTACAATTTATAATAAATGGTATGATCGCAAAAGGTATTGTCATTAAATTATTACTACTATTATTCTTCTTTGTATTGGATTTTGATTTGCACACCACGCATATGTGCACCATTATAATAAATTTAACTTATATTAGGTATGTTAAATAAAATGTCAAATAGAATAATATGAAAAATATTATGGAGGTATGTGACAAAAGTTAAATATTTTGAATATTCAAATAATTTACAATTAAAAAAGGCAAGAAGTTTGAATATTCAAAATGACAATTTAAAACATAGATAATATATATTATCTATGATTTAAAAAAGCGCGAAATTTAAATGATTGATAAACGAAAAGTGATAAGTGATAACCGTTGAACCACATTGGACCATCATACTACCACCCTGGTTTCTTGGGTGCTCTCTGGACACGCGAATATTTGTTGAATGGCCTATCCTCTATATATTATCTATGCTCACAACTAACTAACTAGTCGGCCTGTCACCGTACAGGGCCAAATATTACCGACAGCAGTCTGGCCAACCTTGGGGGGTTAACACTCGACCAGCCCTGACCTTGTTGTTGTCCTCAACAGACTTAGCATATAACAATTCAAATTTAATTCTCCTTAACTTCACAGCGTTAAGTTATTCTCACTTAATAATTTAAAAAAAACTTATTTAAAATATAAAAAGAAAACAACATCATACTACAATATCTTTAAACCCTTAACGTCCTAACAGGAACATACAGTTGCAAAACTTACATAGAAAAATAGAAAAATCGACATCATTACAATACTTTTAATTATTAGTTCTCATAATCATTTTCCCACACCGGCGGCTTCTCCTGCCGTTGAGGTCTACTCTCCTTCTGAACAGATTCACCCTCAGCCTCTTCGGTTCCGTACTCTTCCACCTGGTCATAGTCAACAATTTGATCACCCTCTTCAGACTGCAGCCGCCAGGACTTCAATTGGGATACATGGGCAGTAGTTGAGTACGCCCTCCTTCCTCTAGTGGTTAAACTAGCCACTCGATACGCATCTCCGGACATTACTTCCGTTACTACCAGAGGCCCCTTATAACGATCTTGGAGCTTGGTCGACTCTCCCGTAGAGGTTGAAGCACGTCTCATTACCACAACTTCCCCCACGGTATACCGGGTGTTGTCATGCCTATGTTGATCGTACCTCGCCTTGACCTTTGCTTTTGCATCCTCCATCTGCTTCTTTACTTCCAACCGCAGCAACTCAGATACTTCCCAGTCACCTTCAGTCTTAGAAAAGGTTTCCCAAATGGAAGCGTGGCCTGTAGCCATGTAGCAGCTCAAAAGGGGTCTTCCTGGTCACCTTACTGTCACTGCTATTCAGGTCGTTCTGGACCTTCAAGAGCTTCAAGTCCCAGTCCTCCGGCTGGACACAAGTGGTGATCAAGGCAGACATCAGGGCGCTGTGAACTATCTCCACTTGACCATTCGTCTGGGGGTGCCTTGACGATGCCAGCACATGGGTTATCCCTTGTTCTTCGCAGTAGGTAACGAAGCTATGCGCAGTAAAACTGGTACCTCGGTCAGTCACCAGCCGCTTGGGCAGCCCACACGCTCCAACAAGACGTTCACACACTGCACAGTCTCTTCCGCACTGGTTCCAGCTACAGCATAAAATAAAACAAACTTAGTAAGCTGTCCACAAATACTAGGACATACCTGCAACCCCTTTCAGTAGTCAAGAATGGTCCAACATGGTCTGCATGTACTGTCTCGAACGGCCTATTTCCAATGGACAGGGGGTGCAATAATCCTGGTTGCTTCCCTCTTGGCACCTTTACCATTAGACACTCGAAGCACATGCTTATGTGGAACCGAACGTATCTTTTCATTCCCGTGAACCAAAAATCCTGCCGTATGTTTTCCATAGTTTTGTCAACAGCAGGGTGACCACTGAGATCATGGGCACTTACGAAAAGACTCTTCCTCATGGCTTTCGGCATGACGAACAGCAGCTTGCAATGGAATCTGCGATACAACAGCCCATCTTCTACCTCGTAGTCACTCAGCATCCCAGCACCTCCGCTCACGTGTTCGGCTTCAACCTTTTTCTTGATGTCCAAGAGCTCCGCATCAGAAGCTTGACACATCTGCACCCTCTCTTCCAGAGTGAGTACCACACAGACATCTAGTTGTTCATCAAACACCCCTTCCTCCGACTTCATCGGCGCACGTGAAAGTGCATTCACATGGCCCATTCGTACCCCTGGCCTGTATTTCACTACAAAGTCAAACTCTTGTACTGAGTCGTGCCAACGTGCTATCTGAGAACTAGTGCCTCTAAACGAATTTAAGTACACTAGTGCTTGACAATCAGTATACACAGTAAACCGTACTCCCAACAGAAACTGCCTTAACTTGCGTACAGCCCAGACGGTGCAAATCAGCTCCAGTTTGCTCGAATGGTACCTGGACTCAGCTTCACTTGTCGTTCTACTTGCACAATAGACTAAATGTAAGGGCTCACCCTCCTTACTGGCTTGCATCAGCATTGCCCCAAGGCCCACCGCACTCGCATCCGTGTGCAACTCTATCACTCCGGACTTGGGGTTGAACATGGCTTTGATTGGTGGCCTGGTCAATAATTTTTTCATGGTTAGAAAGGCTTCTTCAGTTTCAGGAAACCACTCAAACCTTACATCCTTCTTTGTAAGCCTGGTCAGTGGTCTGGCTATCTTCGAATAATCCTTCACAAATCGTCTAAAGAACCCTGTAAGACCCAAAAATCTTCTTACCGCGTGAGCATCACTAGGTTCCGGATACTCGGCGATACAGCGAGTTTTTTCCTCACCAGGTTGTATCATTCCACCTTCAACGATAAACCCCAAAAATTCAATGCGTTTGGTTCCAAACGAGCACTTGGACGGCTTGAGAGTCAAATTAGCACATCTCAGCCCGTCAAAAACTTGACGCAGTTTGGACAGCATATCCGACCAACTTACGGCGTCTACAACCATATCATCCAGATAGTTCTGAACCACATCACCTCTGAGCGGCCCCAGCACCTTGTGCATTAACCTAGTGAACTCGGCTACGGCACCAGATAACCCGAAGGGCATCCGTGCAAACTGTCCTGCGGTGTCCGCAGTGATGAAAGCAGTCTTTGCAGCTGCTTCAGGAGTGAGTGGTATTTGCAGATACCCACTCGCCAGGTCGAGCTGAGCGAGCAAGCTGGCCGTGGCTAGTGACCCAAGTTGTTCACCCATATCGGGCAGAGGGAAATGGTGTCGCAGAGTTTGCTTGTTCAATCGCCTATAGTCGACGCACAGCCTGTGTTTACCACCACTTTGCTTTACAAGTAAAAATGGGCTCTCGTATGGTGACTGCGTTTCTTCTACTGTACCACATTTCTTCCACTCGCCGACAATCTCGGCGATTTCCTTCCGGTCTTCAGCCGACGTCTTGTAAGGCCTACATACCAAGGGCCTGCTCCCAGGCACTTCGTTGATGTCCATGGTCATCAGTGGTGTGCATCCGAGCTCGGACAGTCCCTTGGCGAAACACCCGCGGTACTCATTGACCAGATTCATTAGCTCTTCACGCTCTACTAAGCTGGCATCGTCAGCTACGAATTCAAAATCGTCCAGGACAAGCGGTAAAGGCGTATCAACATCTTCTTCATCGACCACGTACAGCACATAAAATTCATTTCCCAGCGTCATTACTGAAGGATCCACTAGCTCTTTGACTGAAGACACTTTTTCAATAATCAAATCATTACCAACCTTACGGTAAGTTACGGTCGACAAGTCTAGCCAATTTCGTCCAACCATAACATCAGGCCCCTGGGCCCCATCAGGTACCACAAGGACACCTACCGGTCCTGCGTTGACCCCATCAATAATAATTTCAATGGTAGATTCGCCGACGGCTTCTAGCGATGGCACGATTGTGCTACCCACACCGTATAATCGTTTTTTCGGACGGCCGTACCCCAATCCGCTCTTAACAGCTACTGTGGATTTTAGGAGTGTACACGAACTCCCAGTGTCTATTAGGGCGCTGTACTCACGTCCGTTGATCACTCCAACCTTCAGGTAAGGATGTATCTTCGGCACGCCGCCCCCTGACACGGCATTCACTTGTGCTAAGTCCGGACAGTTTGACTTCAAATGTCCGGCCACGCCACAATGGTAACACGTAATACTTTTTCGTCTCACTTGACCGTCACGTGACGGGTGTCCGATCTTATGGCAGTAAAAACAGCTGCCGCGTTCAACGTCGTCTCTAACTTTCCCCTGGGCTTCCTCAGGTTTTTCAGCAACAAGCGCCATCCGTCTCCATGACTTCTTCTCGTCACTGTCGAGGCTCAACAATTTTGGCAGGTTCCTTGGATTTTACCTGTGCCAGTCCTGCGGCGTTCCGCAACGCGTGCATTCTCTCCCAATCCAAGAGGTCCGTCAGCAACTCGTTTTCATATCGGTGTGTCCTACTCATCGCATACATGGCGACTTCCTTTGAGTACAATCCTTGTATAACGTGGTCCCGTATTTCGTTGAACGAAAGAAGTAAGTCGCGACACAACCTGACTTTGGCTTGGAAATAATCCATACAGTATTCGTCCTTCAGCTGGCATCGCTCACGTAAAGCGTCCCAACGATCGGACATTCGGACGGTACGGACGAACGTTGCACTGAACTGCCTTTTAAAATCTGCCCAATCTACGAACAATCGACCGACAAACCAATCTCGGGCGGCTCCCTGCACGTTCGCGCGCACGAACTGAACGCGATAAGCGGACGGCCAACAGTTTAAATCGGCGATCCCTTCGATGGAGGCTAGCCAATCGGCCGACGCATGGGTAGACTCATGTCCATCAAAGGTACCGACGGTTTTGTCGAGATCTGGCAACACCCGGAAATCCATCACAGGTTGACGCGATTGTCTTTCAGCCTGATCCGCGTTCGAGGCCTCCCTACTCGACGCTCCCATGGCGGCTACCTCTTGTCGAAGGGTCTCGACAAGCGTGAAAAGTTCATTATAAGTTGGTGCATGTGGTACTGCAGGACTCGCGTTCTTACCACCGGTCATTTTGAACGTTATAAATAACAACAACAACAACGAGACAACAATGATACGCGGACACGCGATTAGCTGATAACGTTTTCAATCTACTTGGCGTACCGGTTAACCTCAATAACGAACTCGACGTATTACGTAACGTTTAACCTCGCAGTCCACTCTGTGGGCGTGAGTTCGAATCCCACTTCTGACTTAATTTTGTGTTATCGTCTCTTCTTCAATCGCCAATAATCAATTCACAACACTTAGGTACTAGTAAAGAAAAAGAACAACAAACTTACATTTAGAATTAATAACTTTTATTTTAAACAATAGTCACTCGTCGGTCTCGCTCTTCGCACCCGCCGACAGAGAGACGCACAGCACAGACACGTCCTGCTCACAACTAACTAACTAGTCGGCCTGTCACCGTACAGGGCCAAATATTACCGACAGAAGTCTGGCCAACCTTGGGGGGTTAACATTGTATAGGCAGACTCAGATTGGAGTTGCATATTATCAATTCCTTTAACAGCGCATTTCTACGACGTAAGTGCGGAGGAGCTATGTTGCTTAGAACTGGAAGCCATAGGAGGGGAGTGTACTTTACTGTACCAGTTACTATTTGCATACAGCGATTGGGTTGAACATCAATCTTTTATGTGTGTGCGCTATTCAGCCATACTGGTGAGCAGTATTCGGCGGCTGAGTATACTAGACTTACGGCAGAGGTTCTAAGTGAGTTAAAATCGGCACCCCATTCTGTACCCGTAAGCTTTTCTATAATGTTGTTGCGGGAGCTGATTTTCGCTGCTATACTAGTTAAGTGTGTCTTATATGTTAGGGTTCTCCTAGGACTCCAAGGTATTTAGAAAAGTGGTTATGTTGCATGCTATTTCCTCAGAATTTAATGTTTAAGCTTTGGTAAGCTGATTTATTGTTGAGGTGGAAAAGAGAGAACTCAGTTTTGTCTGGATATCAATTATAATACATACCTACAAAACGTTGTATGACTAAAAAAATAACAACTATATATATAACATTCCAGAATCGTTATGGCCACGCAATGCTTGTTCTTGACGACAAAACAATACTATACAATCAATAATTGATACTAGGTGCTTCTTATTGGACCTAATTTGATTTAATCTAATAAAAATTTTAAAAAAATATCATATATATTGAACCTATATTTTTTACCTATCGGAAGTCCGTCGAGCAATTATTGATAATTTTTTATGAGAATATATATTTAAAATTTATCTGAATCCAAAATGGAAGAGTCATGATTAGCTTCTTTGTGAATGTGTCCTATAAATCTAAAATACAAATTAACAATAATTGATATATACAATCTACCGGATGAGGCATATTATTGACTAATAAGAAAGTATGGAATAAGTAGGCATTTCAACTACCTGCTGATCATTTTTCCACTTTAACTACAAGCTGCCCGGTCCTAATGGCTAACTTCCAATTCCATCAGTCTTTTCAAAAATAAGGCAATGTTTGCAGAAAGCTCCTAAATTCAGAATTATGACAGCTAATTATACTCTGCAAGCCACTTATACTGAAACCTCAAGCCACGTTTTTGTTTTTTTCACATATAGGACATCTTTGTTAATACAGCTATACAATTTTTCAGCAGGGTTGGTAATATAGACTAAGGCATAATAAATTTTAAGTATACATTGTTTCCTTTGAAATTCAAAATTATTATAATAGTGATCATAGTATACTGTAAATTTTAAATTGTATTAACTATTAAGTATAAAATAAACTTATATATTTCAACATCAACTTGGTAATTACAAAATTTCCTTAAATTTAGAATAAAATTAAAAACAAAACAAATTTCTTTTTTGTTAAAATAATAAGTATTAATACTTTTTATGGTAGTTATTAATAAAGATGAATTTACTACTTAGCAATTAATATAACAGATTAATTAAATCATTACATAATATATCTTCTTTGTTGAGTTTTAGGTTAGGTATAGTATTAACTAATCCATAGTATTAAATCTTAATATTTAATACTCATTTGATTGGTAGTCTTTTTCTCCTATTTTGAGTGAATAATATACTTCTAACAACTTTTTTGTAGGATCCGGAGATAATTTGTTTCTCGATGTTCTGAATCTGAACTCGTACCATGCATCAGACTAATGTCGGCAATAATATGGACTCCAAATCCCCCCCCCCCATTTCTTACCAGTGGTGGCTATCCAAACAGGCACAATAGTGGAGAGAGATGCGCAGCAACCTACAAGTTCCTTCTCTTATGAAACGGAGTACAACATTATGTGCAATTGAGTATTGAGTTTTAATAAAAAAAGTAAGTTGTTTAATTTTAAAAATGTTTATTTTATATTTGAGTTATTGGCCAATACTAGATATTATATTCTCTTCTTCTTCTTGAACTTTTACGGTCCTTGAAGGACTTTCACTACTACTACTACGTTCCTCCATTTATCTATATCCATATAGTCTGCTATTGTTACTCCTTGTGCACACTTGTTTAGATCGTCGTTGACTCTGTCTGCACGGAAGAAAATATGTAGTTGATGGTATTAGAATTAGAATAATTCGAACTATATTTTATAGTTATAATAGTTATTTTATTATAGCTATGGTAACTATAATAATATAGTAGTGACAACTAAAAAATTGCAGTAACTTTTTAGTATTGATTGCTAAACGTTTTTGTTAATCAACCTACATTTTATAGTAGCTTCTATTATACGATTTTGTTAGAAATACTTAATCTTTAAGCTCCTAGCGGCTAGTAGGTACTGAATACTAAACGTTTTAGTTAACCTACCACACTATAAGTACCACACTTATATGGTGTTCCAAAATTAAAAATATAAGTAAAATAGTGCCCTTTAGTTTAATACATTTTTGAAAAATAATATCAACTATTTGTTTAAGAACAATATATTATGACCAAAACTAAATTAAAAGGAACTAAGTAATCAATTGTAAGTCCAAGGTATCTAATAAAACATAAAGATTCTGAATCTGACATTTTAAGAACTCCATGATTCAAGTTTTCCATTGATATCAAAGTAGGTCTATTACGAATATCTATAGGACCGTAATTGAATGTTTCGATTCTATTACTTAATACTTCTACAGTGTCACAGTGAAGTACCTACTTAAAGTAAAAAACCATGTATTTTAAAATTAATCTGATATCATACTTGCATACACCCTCTAGCATATCATATATAATATCTACATTGTAATTTTCAGTTGCCCTAAAATAATTTAAATCAGGGGTCGGCAACCTTTTCAACCACGCGGGCCATATTTTTTTTTCAATTTTTCATCAAGGGCCACATTAACAAAAAATTACATATTATGATATAATACTTATAATTGTATTGTTGTTATATTTGATTATTTTACATAGAAATATGAGAGCAAAAAAACACAAATGTTACTGGAAAAAATTGAATTAAATAAAAAAGCTGTAAATTAATGCGATTTCTGTGCCTGCAGTTTATTAGTTGAATTTTCGATATCAGCTTCCCGAAAAGAATTTTTTAGAACCTCGTCATTTTGAAGTTCAATTACTCAATGACTTCCATTTGTAAATTATTCTTGACATTATTTATGTCCATTTGAAAAGGATTCTGGCATAATTTAATTTCTTTATCATATTTATAAAAATCATCAAATCTTGTTGAAAATTCGTTTTTTAATTGTTCAATGATATTGAAAAATTTAGGTTTAATTAAATCCCACTGCAATGGTATTGCAAAAGATTCAGTCGCAGATTTACAACACGAAAAATGATATAAAATTCGTTTTCGTTTTCGCGGTTTCGACCGTCTTTCACGATTTTTTTTCAAAATTTTCGAGTTTTACCCCCCTCGGAGGCCTCGGGCGGCCCCGTTCGGACCTTATTCGCGTTCCTCGATAAATTTATAGTCGGCGCGCGGCCCTACTTTTCGCCCGGCGGGCCCGCGGCGGCGGATGTCGCGTGCGATACGAGCGTCGCCGTCGCGCGCGTTTTTTGCCGTTTTTTTCGAAAATTCGAGTTTTAGGCGTTTTAGGGCGTATCGACCTCCCCGTTTGGATCTTATTCGCGTTCCCCGCTAAATTTATACCCTACGCGCGGCCCTCCTTTTTAAAAACGAGTCCCCCGGCGGACGAGTCGATCGCCGAGAGCGCCGCGTCGTCGCCGCTTCGACGGTTGTCCCGACTTTTTCGACTAGAGTCGCGTTCGGCGCTTTCGCGAGACGTCCGACCTCCCCGTCGGAGACGTATTCGCGTTCCCCGCTAAATTTATAGCCGGCGCGCGGCCCTACTTTTTCAAAAACGAGCCCCGGGAGGAGCAGCGTCGCGGAAACGAGAGTAGGTACCGATTACGTATCGCTATATACAGGCATAAATACATGCGTCTTGAGGTTAGATTTTTTTTCGCAAATCTCGCGTTTTATACGTCAGAGGGCAGCGGATCCGGAGGTCCGCTCGCCGAAGCGGTCGGATCGCCCGCTCAAACGCCTTTTGACGGCCGTCCAAACGGCGTTCGCCTTTCGCGTGCACGGTGACGTGGCTTAAGAGTCATACATTTGACTCTGAATTTCATCTCAGTAGGCGGCTAGGCTGGTTAGGCGTTAGGACAAGTTACTCGGGGGGTCGTGGTTTCGAACCCGGCCGCCGGGATTTTCCATAATTTGCGGCGCCAGTGTTAAATTTGAATTTTTTTTTTTCGTCTTATTGTATTTAACGAAAATGTTCGGTTTTTTTTTAAAATTCGAATTTTACCGCCTCTACGGACTTTGAAGACTTACTCGCGTTCCCCGTCAAAGCAGTCCTTGATACTTTTTATTACTATACACGGCTTGAATATATGCGTCGAAGAGTTCGATTTTCTTTTTTTGCAGTTTTTTTCAAAAATTCGAGTTTTAGCCCGTGTCGGTCGTATCACCCTCCCCGTTTGGGTCTTATTTGCGTTGCCCGCTAAATTTACAGCCGGCGCGCGACCCTACTATTTCAGATACGAGTCCCGGGGAGGAG